ATAGTTACGAAGATGCCTCAGGCCAGGCTTTGCTCCCAACTATGATGATTTAGATGAGAATGTTCCCCATAGCCTTGTATAGTTAATGCTTTGTGCTCTGTCAGTGAAACTGCTAAGGAAATATTAAGAGGTGTGGCTTTGCTGGAGTAGGTGACACCAGGAGTGGGCTTTGAAGTTGCAAAAGCCCATGCCACGCCCAGCCTCTCTATAAATCATTTTTCCCACCTCTCTCTCTTAGCCCCACTGCCTGAAAAGCACTCAGGTTCTGCCAGAGTGCCATGCCTGTCTTCCACTATGCTGATCACAGACGAACTCCCTAAAACCGCAAGCAAGTTTCCAATGAAATGCTTTGCTTTATAAGACTTTGCTCGGTAATGATGCCTTTTCAGAATACTAGAACATTAACTAAGATAACTAACTACAACAGTTGAGTCCTAGGATGGATAGTTTTGGTCAACTCAGCATACGTTAGAGCTAGTGGGAAGAGGAACCTCATTTGAGAAAATGCTTCTATCGGATTTCTTGTAAGAATGTCCATAGGAAATTTTCTTGATTGATGATTGACAGACAAGGGACTGGCAAGCCCATGGGGAATGGTGCAATCCTTGGGCAGACTGAGTAAACCATGTGGAGCAAGCCAGTGAGAGCATGGTCCCTGCTTTAGTTACGCCCCTGGATTGCTGCCCTGCTAAAGTCTGCCCTGTCTCCCCTCAGTGGCAGACTGTAACCTGGAAATGCAAGGTGAAATAAACCCCTTTCTCCTCCAACTGCTTTGGCCACGGTCTTTATCACAGCAATGGAAACCCAAGTAAACAAGATGTAAGGAAAGCCATTTTCTCTTGGTACACCTAAGGCTTCTCTCCACTGCTATAAAATGGAGATGATTATATCTGATTAATAGAACTATAATAAAGAAAAAGTCCATTTGCAGAATAAAAGAGGAGACTAGCACCTGACATACAGTAAGAGTTTAATAAATGTTAGCTATTATTACTATTGCCTTCTCTATCTTCTGAGTTAGGCTACAGGTAATGTGCTATACATTAACATCTAATGCTTGACTCTGAGCCTCTTTTCCTGACATTCTATGGGAGATATTACTTCACTATATACACAGAAGTGACATCACCAACCATAACACAACGCAACACCCAGAACTTCCATTGTCCCTGCATCATGGCAGTATGGTAATCAGTGGTGTCTCTGAACTTTCCTTCAGCTTAAACCTTATTCAGATATTTCATCAGAGCAGACTTTGCCAGAAGCTACTGAAAACAAATAGACTTTGTGTTCTCTGGACAAAGTTAAAGGGAATTTTTTAGTTTTTACAACATCCTTGCCATTAATTATTACCTTTGTTATCTGCACTCAGCTACTTAAGACATCAAGTTTATCTAGGTCAAGGGTTTAACATGCTGGAGAAGGGCACCCATGGTTGATATCTTGTCCTTTACAAGGTTTTGAGACTTTGTCTTGTGTCCATAGGTTGTTTTTATTTTATGAGGTGGGTGATTTGGGTCAGACATTTCCCCTTTGCTGACTTGGATCCTTCATGTCACACTGCTAAGAAAATTCTTTTTTTCTGTGTTTGAAGTTGACTATATCATCAATTTCCCATAGTTTTGTCCCAAGAATCAAGATCAGAATCAGTATGCTTTCAGATGAGAAAAATTAAAGGACTATTAAGTTTTCAATTAGGTCTTGGTACAAAGTCCATTTTGTTAATAGCAAATTCTCTTATCAGATTATGTTCTTTGGTTACAAGAATTAAAAAAAAAATACTAAGGAAAGATAACTTATAGATACTAATTTATTTTCATTTTAAGACTATTTTATATATCTCTCTCACACACACAGTTTTTTAACTACATTTATAGTTATGTCAAGAACCAGAGGGGACACAAAATATTTCTAACTTTCCAATATTAATGAATATGCAAATATGAAGATCACCCCAGTGCTACAGGTTCAATATGTGAGGACACTGGCAGTGGGTCCAAGATCTAACGGTAATGCACAAACTGACCCAGCGGAGCCCATTCTGTATGGAGAGATAGCATGCCCAGCCAGACACAGGGGCTTGGGAGGCCTTGGTCCTGCCTCAGCAAGATGATGGGGCAGACTTATTAGACTTCCTAGGGAAGGCCTTACCCTCTCTGAGAAGCAAATGGGAGGTGGGGGAGAGTGGGGGAGGGAGAGAAGAGGGGGGATGGAAACTGGGCTTGGAATATAAAAATAAATTATTCAAAAATATTTCATATGAAAAATCACCAAAGGGGGATCTTGTTGCTTTCCCCTTTTCCAGAGCCCCATGCATGTCTTAGGGTTCTGCTTGTTCCCTAGCTTTTCTGCTGGCATGAAATATAGGCTGGAGATCCTTTGCTCTATATCTAAAATTCGTATATGAGTGAGTACATACCGTGTTTGTCTTTTTGGGAGTGGGTTACATCACTCAGGATTGTTTCTTCAAGTTTCATTCATTTCCCTGCAAATTTCAGGATTCAATTGTGTTTTTCCACTGAGCAGTACTCCCATGTGTAAATGTACCAAACTTTTCCATGCATTCTTTAGTTGAGGGGCATTTAGGTTGAGTCCAGTTTCTGGCTATTACAAATAATGCTGCTATAAACATAGTTGAACAGATGTCCTTGTATGAATGCACATCTTTTGCGTATATGCCTAGGAGTGGGATTACTGGATCTTCATGTAGACTAATTTCCATTTTGCTGAGGAACCCCTATACTAATTTCCAAAGTGGCTGTATGAGTTTACACTTCCACCAGCAGTGTAGGAGTGTGCCCCTTATTCCACATCCTCTCCAGCATAAACTGTCTTTGGTGTTTTTGATTTTAGCCAATCTGACAGGAGTAAGATGGTATCTCACAGTTGTTTTGATTTGCATTTCCCTGATGGCTAAGGATGTTGAGCAATTTCTTAAGGGTCTTTCAGCCATTTGAGATTCCTCTATTGAGAATTCTCCATTTAGTTCTGTACCCCACTTTTTAATTGGATTATTTTCCTGAGTTCTTTGTATATTTTGGAAATCAGCCCTTTGTCAGATGTGGGGTTGGTGAATATGTTTTCCCATTCTGTGGGCTGCCCTTTTGTTTTGTTGACTGTGCCCTTTGCCTTATAGAAGCTTCTCAGTTTCAGGAGGTCCCATTTATTAATTGTCAATCTCAGTGTCTGTGATACTGTCTTATGTTCAGGAAGTGATCTCCTGTACCAATTCCTTCAAGGGTACCTCCTCCTTTTTTCTTGTAAGAGGTTCAGTGTGGACGGATTTATGTTGAGGTCTTTGATCCATTTGGACTTAAGTTTTGTGCATGGTGATAGATATGGATCTATCTTCAGTCTTCTATAGGCCAGCATCCATTTGTGCCATGGCTATTTGTTGAAGATGCTTCCTTTTTCCAATGTATAGTTTTAGTTGCTTTATCAAAAACCATGTGTTTATAGGTGTGTGGATGAATATCAGTGTTTTCTATTAGATTCCATCATCTACCTGTCTATTTTTGTGCCGGTACCAACTGTTCTCAGGACTGTAGCACTGTAATAGACTTTGAAGTCAGGGATGGTGATGTCCCCAGAAGTTCCTTTATTGTACAGGGAAGTTTTGGCTATCCTGTGTCTTTTGTTTTTCCATATAAAGTTGAGTATTATTCTTTCAAGGTCTGTGAAGAATTGTGAAGATCTTGATGGGGATTGCATTGAATCTGTAGATTGCTTTTGGCATGATTGCCAGTTTTACTATGTTGACCGTACCTATCCAAGCGCATGGGAGATCTTTCCATTTTCTGGTATTGTCTTTAAAGACTCAGAGTTCTTATTATGTAGTTCTTTCACTTGCTTGGTAAGTGTTACCCCAAGATATTTTATGTTGTCTGTGTCTATTGTAAAGAGTGATGCTTCTCTGATTTCTTTCTCAGCCCCTTTACTGTCTGTATATACATGTCCCCCTGGAGAAAGGGACAAGATCTCCTGAGCAAACTGGGAGCATAGAGGGAGGGAAGAGGGAGTTAGAAGAAAGGGAAAGGGAGAAAGGGAGGGGAGAGGTGAGCATGAGGGAACAGGAAGATTGAGACAAGGAAATAATAGAATAATAAAAGAGATACCATAATAGAAGTAGCCATTATAGATTTAAGGAGAAATTGGCACTAGGGGAATGACCAGAGATCAACAAGGATGAACCCAACTAACAATCTAAGAAATAGTGGAGAGGCTACCTTTAATGCCCTTCCCCTATAATGAGATTGACAACTACCTTATATGCCATCCTAGAGACTTCATCTAGTAGCTGATGGAAGCAGAAGCAGACACCCACAGCCAAACACTTGCTGAACTCATGGGATCCAATTACAGAGAGGGAGGAGTGATGAGCAAAGGGGTCAAGACCAGGCTGGAGAAATCCACAAAAACTACTGACCTAAACAAAGGGGAGCTCATGGACCCTGATCTGACAGCTGGGAAACCAGCATAGGATGGACCTAGACACCCTGAATGTGGGTGTTAGGAGATCTGGACAGTCTATGGGCCCTCTAGTAATGGATCAGAATTTATCCCTAGTATACGAATGGACTTTGGGAGCCCATCCCACTTAAAGCGAGACTTTCTCAGCCTAGACACATGTGGGAGGGCTAGGCCCTGCCCCCAATGATATGACAGAATTTGAAGACTCCCCATGGAAGGCCTCACCTTCCCTGGGGATCAGAAAGAGGACAAGCTGGGGTTTGGTGGGGTTGCTATGGGAGGGTGGGAGGGTGAGGGAACTGGGATTAACATGTAAAACAACCCTGTTTCAAATTTAAAATAAAAAAGGAAAAAAAAATCACCAAAGGAAAAACTTACCTGAATTTAAAATAGATCATGCTGTTCAAGTTTTATACTTCAATGAAAATTCTAACTTGAAACATGATTTCTTTTGAATTACTGTTTCCTTTTCTATAAGTAAAAACTCCCTCTGCACCTATCTTTGTTTGGCACTATGGCACTCATCCTACCTTGAAGCCATCACATCGCCTTGTTTTCTTTGTTCTGGAAGGTTGGTCCTCTACTATTTTGCTTGAATACAGAGTTTGGTCCATGATGGAATCGTGGATGTGATGGGACTATCTGCAATCACTGTTGGTAAATGCTTCCGTTGAAATGATCCCCTACAGAGGGAGAGACGGTGTCGTTTATTGGACTTTAACAATATATAATTTAGAAATGAGAAAAAGTCATGCCCAAACCAACCTTTCTAACAGTGATGTCTACAAAGATTTGGGCTCTCAACCACTGGACTAGGTAAATTCTGGATACAAAATTAAGAAAGAAAAATACAAAGTTCTAACCTGAGGGAGATTTTTAAATTTAAGTTGGTAAATTTATGAAGGAAAATGTAAAACCAGTGAGGTCAATATGGTTTGTTTATATTTGCAATGAATGAAAACATTAAATTTTAGACACTAGGATTTTGACCTTATTTGATTTATCTTGAGATGTTATTTATACCCCAAGAGAAAAGATGATTGAAAACGCATGAGGTTAAGAACAGTCAGAATCCTTCTTTATGCTTTACTACTGTAAACCACATTCCTACAAGTGTTTGGTATAAGAGAAACTATATTTTAAGTGTTTTATAGTTCCTATTCCTTTTTCCATTTTTTCAAGATATGGTTTCTCTGTGCATCTCTAGCCCTGCTGGAACTTGCTCTGTAGACCAGGCTGGTCTCGAACCCACAGAGACCAGCCTGCCTCTGTCTTCCTAGTGCTGGGATTAAAGGCATGCACAACCAATCAACCATCTTGAGTCTCTATTCTTAATAGGAAATAAACAATTTTCTTCCTTCAGTTCATTTATGTCAACTAATGTATTTTTCATAAGATTTAGGAAGCATACACTTGTTTATACATGTATGCAGAAAGGCATATTTGTGTGTCTTAAATACAAACATTATCTGGGGGAATGTGCCCATTATATAGCATGTTTACTACATGGTAAGTATACAGTTGATTGTAACTATTCATGCTGGTTATAGGCTGTAAAATTGATTAGAACATGCAATTAGTAAACATCTAAACACTGATTCTAGAAAACATATCAGGGCATGTTTATGGGTACCTTGTGTCACAGCAGTTTAATCAATTAACTAATAAGTAATTGTTTGTGTATATTGCTGTTGAAAATTACTTTCTTGAGCATATTCTCACATCATTAACATTGGAGTAGTAGTGCATAAAATGCTTGGTCAAGCCAGCCTAAAGCTTATTTCACACACACACACACACACACACACACACACGTTCAAATTATAGTTTTGCTCTCTGTCAGACACTTTTTCATGAAAGAACCCTTGACTGGGCTTTGCCTTATGGCACAAAAATGCAGAGTATTTACAAGATACACTGTGAACAGGTCAGGCATTGACACTCAAATGGCAAAGTGTTGTCGAACCTCCTATGACTTCCACCAACAATCCACCGATGCCCTCCACTAAAAGCCTGGTTTGGTTTCCATCACTTGGCTCATGTTGGCCATTGGCCACGAAGCACCTGCAGTCATGATTTTTGTGTCATGAGTAGGAAGTTTGCTGAAATACAGTCTACAAATAGAGAGGGTCAACTGTATGTATTACCCATTAATGCTTATCGCTTTCCTTTCCTTGCGTGTGTGTGTGTGTGCACAGTCATCTGTGTGCAAGTGCATGTGTCTGCATTTAGGTGTATATATTGTATGTGTGTATATCCAGGTACACAGACGCATGTGCATGTAAGTTTATATGTGGGGGATATGCATGTGGAGATCAGAGATCAACCTCAGCTGTAATTTTGTTATGTTGTTCTTTTCATTTTTTGACAGAGTCTCTTACCAGCCTAGAACTCACCTAGGTTAGCTGGCCAGTGAGTCCCACAGTTCTACCTGTCTCCACCATGAAGTTCTGGGACTGCATACCACCACATCCAGATTCTTTTTTATGTAGGTTCTGTGCGATGAAGTCACGTCTTTGTACTTTCAGACTTCCTTATTTACCAATTGAGCTAGCTCCCTACTGCCCATATATTTTAAAAATTTATTCCTACCGCATTAATTTGTAACACATGGCTATTGCTGGACTTGGCGGTATATGCCTGTAATCCTAGCAGTTGTGAGGTGGAGGAGTAGGATTTGCAATTCAAGTCCAGCTTTGACAAATACAAACATATGCAGATCATGGGAATGCATGCTTATTTACACATAACTGAACTCCAGTCACACCATTTTCTTCGCTTGGTCTAGCCAAACTAACGCCTGCTTCTGCTCAGCTCCTGGGTGCAGAGGCAGAAGCAAAAAAATCAACCTTGTAATGCTAGGCTCATAAGAAATCCCCTTATAAGTTTCCCAGCGTTGTGCCGTGCTTTCACAAGGTAATTTTATGTTGGCTTGGCTCGTATAGTGGGTTGCCTTGCTTTGCTTTAAATCTATGTTTGCATGTATTCTCAAACCCCTGAAAGGCTGCTTTCTCAACCCTTCCATCCAGGTTCATCCTACATTGAATGAACCTCTTATCATCCTTGCCTGTCTTCCCATGCACACTCCATCTGGCCTAAGAATCTTTCAGAGATCCATATACCATGCAAAATACAATTTGCGTTTCCCATTTGGTGGCCTCACAACCCTAAGTTCAGCTCTTATTTAAACTTTTATTTTCAGTCCACTCTACACGTGAAGCCAACATTTCAGGAAGATGGCTCTCTGCCCTTTTGAAGTCTCTTGTAAAGGAAATCTTCATTTACAGGTTGTATATCTTCCCCAGTGGTCTCTCTTCACTATTTTTATTATCTCCACTGAAACGATCACTGCTGGTCTGATATTCCAGGGATGAGTGCCTCATTCAAGCATCCCATTCTGTACTCCTCTCCTTCCACAGACATACTAACTTCTGCATACATCTAGACTTTGAGGGGAAATACACAGCAAGATGGTGGAAAGATAACCCTTTGCTCCTGGTTTCTCATAAACACTGTGCTGATTAAAAGTAATCAGTATAAGTAAACTGATTTATAAGTAACATGGAGGTAAGAGGATCAGTCTGGTTAGAATCATATGGCATCTGTTTTCTGAGTCTTGAAATTTAAAGTCTCATTTGGAGGTGTGGAATGTACTTTTACCTGAATGTGTTGTTTCTGGTTTCTAAATGACTGAGTATTTCAAAGTGTTCACATATGACCATAGACCATGCCAATCTATCCTGGGGTGAACAGTCTTTCCAGGTGGATTGAGGGGAAGCAGGATCAGAATCTCACAGCCTCTGCTGCTGTGTGTGTGCATTAATGATTCCTGGGTCACAGGAATATAACATAGACAAGGAGCCATCTGCCCAGGGAACTGAGGAAGAGAAGGAAAAGCTCCCCTACACCTTCCCTGGGGATCTGGAAATCCCTATCACCCATTGTACTTTGACAGTAACGATTTTCTCATAATCTTCATAACCTGAGGAAGGAAAGTAGTATTCCTGGATGTCTTCTTTGTGCTAGGCACTATGCTAGTCAGAATTTGAAAGTCTTTGAGTTGGAAATAAAACCACCAGGAAAATCTCTTCCCATTCCTTCCTTCTGAATCACACAGAATATGTCATCTGGCAGGAAACAGAGACCAAAGCAGCTCAGGGGCATTGCCTGTTCCTGTTTACTATCTAGTTCTGCAGCTTATTTTTCCAGGTCAGAGAAAATTAAAACAAAAAAACAAAAAAAAAAAAAAAAAAAAAGAAGAAGGTTGGGGGGGTGAGAATCAACTCATCACCCCATAGGGTTGGTTAAATAACTGTCCACAGTGCACATTAAGGAAGAAACCCGAGGCTCCCTGTCCCAGACTTGAAATTCGAATTATCTAGACAGAACTGGGAAATGATTTACCAACTCTATTTGTAAATTGTCTTTTATTCGCTATAAGTTGAGTCTGTGGAACCCTGAGCCACATCTGTCTCCTGAATGGATTGGTGATAGGTTTTGTACTAAAGACACAAGCCATACAATTTGAATCATGCAGCATGAATCCCCCCTTTGTATTGTGTAGAAATATTGTACACTAAAGAAAGGTTGAAAGCAGTCTCAAATCGTCTTACCTGAACTCAGGTGTCTACGGCACTTGTGGCATGTCCAACATTAATCCTCCTAGAAAGTTCCTCTTTAAAGCCACTTGGCTTCTTTCCTTCCCTTGGTCCAATGATGATTAACTATCTTGTCAGGTCACCATCCCCCATAAATTGCAAAAAACAAACAAAGATCTAGCTACAAATTCACCCCTGCATCCTGCATTTCAAGGCTGTACTAAAAATGTCTCAGAATTTATACATTATCTTATGCTGATGCTAAAATAATAAGTTTTGTTTTTAGAAGGACCTTGCAGTTTATATTCAGTTGAATTCATTGCACATTATTGAGATTATAAATACAACATGTTATCTGAGGTATATAAATTCTTCCCAATAAAAAACAAAAAAAACATGTGATTCTGAAAAATGAAGCCAGGTTGTTTTATTTTCGAAAGAAAATAGTTTTACAGCATTTTATGGTTCTTGGATAGAATTCTTAAAATATTTTTATGTGATTATAAGATCATTTTATCATAATGAACTCAAAAACAAGGCTATAGTAATTAGAAAATAAGACATCATTAATGTGAAGAAAATAGGAAGGAAAATTATTTCTATTTGCAAATGGTGTGATTTCTACACTTTTAACATGCTACTGAGTCTACTAGCTAACTCTTAGATCTAATCAGCATCTAAATTGGAGATTCAGGATATAAAATCAATATAAAAGCCTTAATATATGCCTTTCTCTTTTCCTGAAATTAGGGGATATATTCCCAGTTTGTCTCCATTTAATTTAATGTTGACTCTATGTTTGTTGTATATAACCTTTATTGTTCTGAGACATGGTTGGTGTATTCCTAATGGCCCTAGTACACTCATCATGGGGACACTTGGAACACTGAAAAATGTCTATTCAGCAATTGAAATTATTGTGCTTTCTGTCCTTAAGTTATTCATATTATGTACTACTTTTATTAGTTTACATACGTAGAACTAATCTAACCTTCCTGGAGTGAAACCACTTGGTCATAATGTATGATCTTAATATATACCTGAGTTCAATTTCAAGTATTTCAGAGAGAACTTTTGTATCTCTGTTCATTACACTTAGACTTTATTTTTCTTTTCCATGGTATCATTTCTTGGTTTTGGTATCTGGATAACACTAGCTTCGTAGGATAAATTTGTCAGTGTAAAATATTCTGAATATTAATCTTTATATCTGTATAAATGGCACATTTTCTCTCTATTTCTGTGGGCTTCCTTGTCACCTGGTTGATTATGCAGAATTTTTTAGTTTTATAAAGTCCTATTTGCCTGTGCTTGATCTAAATTTTTGGGCAAATTGAGTCCTATTCAGGAAGTTCCTTTTTTAATGCCTGTATCATGTAAATGTACTACCTGTGCTTTCTTCTATCAATTTCAATATTAAAGATTCATGTTTAGACCTTTATCTATTGGGAGTTAGTTTTGTGCAAGATGATAGATATGAATCTAATTTCATTCTTTTATATGTGGACATCTAGTTTCTCCAGCACGATTTGTTGGAGATTTATTAATCAAGTTAATGTTTTTGCTCTTTGTCAAATATTAAACAAAGAACCATGCCAAGCTTCAAGAATCCAGGAAAAAGAGAGGGAAGAGAGAAAATATGAGCAAGGAAGGTCAAAATTATAATGGAGAAACCTACAGAGACAGCTGAACCATGCTCCCGGAAACTCATGAATTCTACACCTACAACTGTGATGACTCCAGGGGACCAAACTAGACCCTCCATATGTGGGAGACAGTTGTGAAGCTTGCACTATCAGAGGGGGCCCTGGCATTAGGACCACGACACAAACATGGTACATGAGCTAACTTGTTGGAGTCCATTCCCTATGGTGTGATGCCATGCTCAGTCTTAATGCATGGGAGAGGAGCCTGGCCCTGCCCCAACCTATTGTGCCAGACTATGTTAACTCCTCATGTAGAGTGGAGTGGACTGGGCATGGGCTAGCAGAGAGGTGAGGGAGGGTGGGAGGTCTCCGAGTGGGTGGGAGAACTGTGGTTGGAATGTAAAATTAAATAATTTTTTTTAAGTATCTGAAGTTACATGTACTCATGTTTGAACCTGTTTTATTCTATTGATCTATATATCTGTTTTTGTGTCAATACTATATTGTCTTTATTACTATGGCTCTGTAATATATCTTAAAATGTGGAAAGGCAAACCCTTAAGCATTATTCTTTTTGCTCAGGATGATTTTGGCTATCTGGGGTCTTTTGTGGTCCTGTATGAATTTTAGGATTTTTTTTTTCTATTTCTGTGAAGAATGAGATACTGATTTCTAAAATATAGTACATGTCATCTGCAAATAGATAGTTTAACTTTTCCCCCCATTTGTAGCCCTTTAATTTCCTTCTTTTGTTTTGTTTCTCTAGTTAGCGTTTCAAAACAACTTGTAACTGGTGTGGGAACAGTGGACATCCCCGCCTCCTTGCTTCAAGCTTTCGTCCATTTAGGATTATGTTGGCTGAGTGCTTTCTGTACACAGCTTTTATTATGTTGAACTTTGTTTCTTCTAGTCCTATATTCTCCAGAACTTTTATCAGGAAGGCACGTTGGATTTTATTAAAGAGTTTTTTTTTTTTCTGTTTCTATTGAAATGATCATGGGATTTTTATCTTTAAGTCCATGTATGTGGTTTGTTACATTTATTGACTAATGAATATTGAACCACCTTAGCATTTCAGGGCTAAAGCCAAGTTGGTCTTGGTGTATAATCTTTTTTAAATGTATGTCTGCATTTTGGTAATAAATGTTTTATAGAGCATTTTTTGAGTCTATGTTCATCAGAAATATCGGCCTGTAGTTTTATTTTTTGACTGTGCCTACTTTCTTTGGTATTAAAGTGATGCTAGATTCATGGAGCAACATAAACAAACAAAAGTCCACACCAAGTTAATGGTAAGAAATAATAGAAAATTCAGAATTCAAAGCTGAGATTAACAAAATAGAAACAAAGAAAATAATGCAATAGAAGAATTAAATAGTCTAAGACTTGGCGCTTTGAGATGATAAACAAGATTGCCTGACCTTCAGCCCAACTAACAAAAGAAAAGGAGGACTCAATTTAACATAATAAAACTAGGAAAAATTTGCAACAGACACCAAAGAAATTTTTAATATTAGAAGGTTTAAAAACCTGTATTTCATTAATCTGGAAATCAAAAAAAAAAGGATAGATTCAGCCAAACCACCAAAATTAAGTCAACTCTAAGCCAATTTAAACAAACTCATAACAAACAAGGAGGCTGAAATAATAATAAAAACCTTACAGCTATAAAAACGTGCCGAGTCAGTGGCCTCATGGCAGAATTCTGCCATATTTTCAAAGTTCTATACCCGTCTATCTGAAACTATCAGACTGCGGTCCATGAGCTCCTTCTTGTTCAGATCAGCTGTTTTTGTGGGTTTCTCCAGTCTGGTCTTGACCCCTTTGCTCATGATCCTCCCTCTCTGCAACTGGATTCAAGGAATTCTGTTCAATGTTAAGCAGTGGGTGTCTGATTCTGCTTCCATCAGCTACTAGATGAGGGCTCTAGGATGGCATATAAGGTAGTCATCAATCTCATTATCAGGGAAGGCCTCTCCACTATTGCTTAGATTGTAAGTTGGGGTCATCCTTGTTGGTCTCTGGACATTTTCTTAGTGCCAGACTTCTCTTTAAACCTATATTGGCTCCCTCTTTTGTGGTATCTCTTTTCTTGTTCTTTTCTATTCTCCCCCTGACTCAAATTTCCTGCTCCCTCATGTTCGCCTCTCCCCTCCTCTTCTCCCCTTCCCTTTCATCTAACTCCCTCTCCTCTCCATCCCTGCTCCCAATTTGCTCAGGAGATATTGTCCATTCCACTTCTGAGAGGGACCATGTGTGTATCTCTTAGGGTCTTCCTTGTTTCCCAGCTTCTCCGGCAGTGTGGACTGTAGGCTGAGGATCCTTTATTCTATGTCTAAAATCTGTATATGGGTGAGTACATATCATGTTCTTCTTTCTGTGACTGGGTCACCTCACTCAGGATGGTTTCTTCTATTTCCATCTATTTGCCTGTGAATTTCAAGATCCCCTTGTTTGGAGCTTTTTTGTTTGTTTTTTGTTTTTTGCTTTTTATTTTCCCCCTGCTAAGTAGTACTCCATTGGGTAAATGTACCACATTTGCTTTATCCATTCTTCAGTTGAGGGGCATCTAAGTTGCTTGCAGGTTCTGGCTACTACAAATTATGCTGCTATGAACATAGTTGAACATATGTCCTAGTTATATGAATGTGCACATTTTGGGTATATGCCTAAGAGTGGAATTGCTGGATCTTGTGGTAGACTGATTCCCATTTTCCTGAGGACCTGCCATACCGATTTCCTAAGTGGCTGCAAGAGTTTGCACTCCAACTAGCAATGGCATTCCCCTTTCTCCACATCCTCTCCAGCATAAGTTGTCATTGGTATATTTTATTTTAGTCATTCTGACAGGAGTAAGATGGTATCTCAGAGTTGTTTTGATTTTTATTTCCCTGATGACTAAGGGTGTTAAGCCCTTTCTTAAGTGTCCTTCACTTAACCTTTATTGAGAGTTCTCTACTTAATTCTGTACCCCACTTTTTAATTGGATTATTTGGTGTTTTGGTGACTAGCTTCTTGAGTTCATTGTATATTTTGGAGATCAGCCCTCTATCAGATGTGGGGTTGGTGAAGATATTTTCCCTTTCTGTGGACTGACATTTTGTCTTGTTGACTATGTCCTTTAACTTACAGAACCTTCTCAGTTTCAGGAGGTCCCATTTATTAATTGTCAATCTCAATGTCTGTGCTACTGGGCTTATGTTCAGGAAGCAGTCTCCAGCACCAATTCCTTCAAGGGTACCTCCCACTGTCTCTTATAAAAGATTCAGTGTGGATGGGTTTATGTTGAAATCTTTGATTCATTTGGACTTAAGTTTTGTGCATGGTGATAGATATGGATCTATCTTCAGTCTTCTACACGACAGCATCCATTTGGGCCAACACTATTTGTTGA